CTCTCAGATGCCATGAACAGGCACACCTCAGAGACACTGCAGGCTCAGTTCCAGATCACTTTGCTTCAAAACTGTGTATATTGCAGCAAATCAAGTCTCACAACTTGTTTTGGCTTTTGGTACATATACAAGTTATGCTCTATGTTACATGAACAATAGCATTGTGCCTCAAATAGAAATTAAAATATTCTTTACTAAAAACTTGTTAAAAATCACCTCTGCCTTCAGAGAGTGGTGACATTTTTGCTGGTGGAACTTTTGCCTTGATGTTGATAGACTGACTGAACAAGTTTGTGCTGTTCAATAGATACAAACCAATAAGTGTTATAAATTGCACAATGAACCCAAGGATAGAAATTACGTGGTCACCTCTATTGATGCAGAAAAGGCTTTTGACAAAATCCAACATTCTTTCTTGTTAAAAAGTCTTGGAAGAGCCAGGTGATGGTGGCACACACCCTTAATCCCAGCACTTGAGAGGTAGAGACAGGTGGATCTCTGTGAGTTCAAGACCAGCCTAGTCTACAGAGTGAGTTCCATGACACTCTGGAGCCTCAGAGAAACCCTGTCTCAAAAACAAAAAACAAAAAAAAAAAAAAAAAAAAAAAAAGAACAAACAAACAACAAACAAACCCCCAAACAACCAACCAACCAACCAAACAAACAAACAAAAAAAAAACAGTCCTGAAGAAATTCCAAATAGAAATGTCTATAGCCAGCATTATAATGGAGGAAAAACTCAAAGCATTGCTACCAACACCAGGAGCAAGACAGAAGTGTCCACTTTCTCCACTCTTACTCAATATAGAGCTAGAAGTCTTAGTTAGAGTAGTAAGACATGAGAAGCAAATACAAGTGATACAGTTAGGGAAGGAAGAAGTCAAAGATTTGCCAAGTGCACATTATGATTCTATATATATAAGAAACCATAAAGACTTTGCCAGGAAACAGGAAAGATAAGCATTTCCAGCAAAATGGGGAGGGGGGGTAAAAATTAACACAAATCATTATTCTTTTCATATACCAAAACCAAATATACTGGAAAAGAAGTCAGGGAAGCAATCTCATTCTAATAGTCTCAAATTAAGCCAAAACCAACCAACCATCTTGGAACAACTCTAATTGATGAGGTCTATAATGAAAACCTTAATACACAGAAATTGTATTAAGGAAATTGAGGAAGACACTAGAAAGAACTCTCATGCATGAATTGGTAGAATTATCATTGTAAAAATAGCCATCTACCAAAAGCAATCTACAGATTTAATGTAATCCCAATCAAAATTCCAGGGACAGTCTTGACAAAAACAGAAAAAACAATTTTAAAATTCATAGCGGAAGAAATTTGGAGCAAAAAGAATACTTCTAGAAATTATCCCTATGCCTGATTTCAAGTTATACTATATCACCATAGTAATAAAGGCAGCATGCTACTGGCACAAATTGGGCATGTACAACAATGGAATAAAATAGAGAGTGTGTAAAGGTTTACAGCTCTGAGGTGAAAGTTTTCCCCAATACGAGTATTTTAGCTCTGAGGGGAAATCCCCAATGCATGTGTCACAGCTCTGAGGGGAAAGACTTCCTCAATGAAAGTGTTTCAGCTCTGAGGGGAAATGTTTCCCCAATGGAAGTGTTACAGCTCTGAGGTGAGAGTTTTCTCCTATGTGTTACAGCTCTAAAAAGCTATCCTGGCAGTTAGGAGCAAGAACTACCATAAAGTCACACAGTACAACAAACCTCACACAAGACATTTATTGGGAAAGACACAAGAGGGTGTCTGTTTCTGCTCAGGTTTTTTTGGGGAGAGGAGTTTACAGTGTGGAGATTTCCAGGGTTAGTGAGATTTCAAGCCAAGCCCAGGGATTTGTGGGATTTTGTACTCACACTCAGAAATGGGCCAGACCTCTTGCCCTACATAGAGCCCACATAAGGCCATGCAATGAGTTACCTGATTTTTTGACAAATATGTAAAAAAAAAAAAAAAAATACACTAGAGAAAAGACAGCCTCTTCCACAAACAGTGCTCAGAAAAATAGATGTCTACATGCAAAAGAATGAAGCTGAATCCTTATTTTCACCTTGCATAAAACAACTCCAAATGGATCAAGAACCTCAAAATCATACCTGAAACTCTGAAATGGATAGTTGAGAAATCAGGGAGTACATTTCAAGATATAGACATAGGCAAGGACTTTCTGAATTGGACTCTGATTGCCCAGGAAGACCAATTATCAATAAATTCCATTTAATATAATTAAAAGCAGGAGCAGCGGAAATTGACAACCAAATGAAGAGACTGAATACAGATTGGGAGAAAATCTTTGCAAGATATACATTTGGCAGAGGATTAGTTTCTAGAATACGCAAAGAACTCAATAAACTAAACATAAAGAAACACACAACTCAATCAATACATGGGCTACAGAGAATTATCAAGAGACACAAATGGAGTCAGACCACCTTTAATCCCAGCATTCAGGAAGCAGAGGCAGGCAAATTTCTTAATTTGAGTTCAGCCTGGTCCACAGAGCAAGTTCTAAGACAGCCAGGGTTACACAGTGAAAGCCTGTCTAGAAAAACCAACCAACCAACCAAACAAAAGAAACACAAATGGTTAATAAATACTTTGAAAAGTGCTTAATCTCCTTAGCCACCAGGGAAATGAAAATTAAAATAACTTTGGGATTTCATCTCACTCAGAATTGCTATTCACCAAGAATACAAAATATAAATACTGGTAAGGGTGGGGAAAGAGGAATCCTTCTCCGCAGTTGATGTGAGTCTAATCTGGTGACCCACTGTGGAAAGTTGTGTGGAGGGTTCTCAAAAAGCTGAAAATAGAACTACTGTATGACCCAGCTATACTATTTCTAGGCATATATCACAAGGATTGCGTATCCTACCATACACACACTTGAACACCCGTATTTACTGTGGTTCTATGTAAAGAAGCTAGGAAATAGAATCAGAGTAGGTGTTCATCAGTTGTTGCATGGCCAATGAAAATGTGGTATACATACACAATGGGATTTTATTCATCTGGAAAGAAAAGTAAAATTTGCAGGAAAATGAACAGTACAATATTGTGCTAAGTGAGGTAACCCCAGCCCAGAAAGACCAATGCCACATGTTATTTCTCAGTGTGTATCTGAGTTTCAAACTTACATATTTATAACTTTATTTGGATTGTCTATAGAGGTCAATAAGCCAGAAAGTTCTGGTAACAGGTGGAAGGAAAGCGGCCTCAGTATGGAGAGGGGATAGTGGGACACCATGAAAGTAGAGGGGAGTTAAAGGTTTCAGTACCCATGAGGGTAGGGGTAGTGAGGAGTTAACAAAACTAGTGATGTATGAAAAAGCCTTATGGAAATCCAATATGTTGTATGTTAATTAAAAGTAATTTTAAAAAAGGTTTTGAATGAAAGGCTGACAATATTCAGAACATTAAAAAGTTTAACCTTAAGAACATCTTCATTCCCAACACCTGGGAAGCAGAGGCAGGAGGAACGTAAGTGTGAACCGGTCCAGACAGCATAGTGAGTGAGTTCTGAATCAGCCGGTCTTTCATGGTGAGACTTTGTCTCAAAATAATCATCATCCTGACCAGAGACATAGCTGAGCAGATAGAGCGCTGAAGCGGAAACACACTGTTGGGAAACAGCCACCATTGACCTAGTGCCAGAGAGCGGGTTGCCGGGAACCTTGAATCTGTAAAATGCAATTATCTGTTAAGCATGGTGATTAACAGAGGAGTTAAATGTGGTCCCCAGAGAGCTTCAATGTTCCAGGATTCCTTTCTCCTTAGCAATGGTGGATTTCTTACCCTTTCCAGCTTGCCAGAACAACTTATGGCTAAATTAACAAAGGATGATAATTCTAGCTTTATATGAAACGTGTGGAGAATCTTTCAACATGTCGAACAGACTTAGCTTGGAGCCAGGTGTATAGTTTGGCAGCACAGTGTTTACGTAGCACCTCAGAGGCTCTGGGTTCCAACCTGGATGGCAAGAACTTGGCTGAAATTGTTTCTGTTCTTCCTCAGACCTGTTATTTACTTTCTTTAGAGAACTTTTTTCTTTTCTTTCCTTTTCTTTTCTTTCGTTCTTTCTTTTCTTTTTTTTCTTGTCACACAGAGAGGAGGGTATTTGGTGTTTCCCTCTACTGCTCTCCAACCCAGGGTTGAACTTTTCTTGGCTAGGTTGAAAACCAACAGGCCTCATTGATTTTCCTGTCTCCCCCCACCTTGAAACTTGTATAAGGCGTCTGTGAGATACCTGGTTTGTTTTGTGGGTATTGTGTTCTGAACTCTTAAGGAATACTCAACAAGCACTCAGCCTAACCGCTCCAAGTGGCCACCTCTTCAAGACCACTTATATTTCAAGAGGCAGATGAAATGAAAAGAGGTATACTAAAGTCTATTTTGTATTCAGGAGTTGGATTTCCTTGTTATTAAGGTGCCTCTGGGAATGGAGAAATGACTAGCATAATGTTTGAGGAAGAGGGTAAAACAGCTTCTCTTTTGCGACCTGGGCAGGAGAAGGAAGCTTGTAGTTCGCAGTGATGGTTAAGCTGAGTTAGGCTCAAGGACCAAAGAGGAGCTCCAAGAAGACTCGTGAGCAACTGCGCAATCACGAGGGTTGGTGGAGAGGTTGGGCCGGGTCAGTACAGAGGCGGGGCAGCAGGGCGGGGCCGGTCACAATGGGGCGTGGCACGAGGGAGGGCGTGGCTCTAGGAAAGGGTGCAGCTCTGGAGAGTGTGAGGGTGGAGCTAAGTGGGGCGGAGCCCAGGGGGCTAGGGCGAGGGAACTAGGGGAGGAGCTGAGGGAAGAGGGCGGTGCCAAGTGGGCGGAGCTTAGGGGGGACGAGGGAGGGAGTAAGCGCGCCTGGGGGCAGAGGAGGGGGCCTGAGGCGAGGGCGGGGCGTGGCCACGAGGGGCGGGGCGTGCTTGTCTGGGCGGGGCCGAACTGTTTCAGGCAGCAAGGCAGGTGTTCGCGCGCACAGGTCGGGTGGATCCTGCTTGGCAGCTGCAGGGCGGGCTCAGGGCTCGAGGCGAGGGCTCCTTTCTCTTCCTGCGGCCATGGAGCGGCTGACGTTGCCTCCCGGCGGCGCGGCGGCGGTAGACGAGTACCTGGAGTACCGGAGGTGAGGCCTTAACTCTGCTCCTGAGGCGACTCCGGTTCCCGGCTGGGTCTCTCGTCGTCGGAGCACGGTGGGGTGTGCAGGGACCTGGCAGGAGAGCACACTAGGACTCTGGGAGTTGATTCTTGGACTGTTCAGGAGGCCTGGATTAATTTCCCATTTCATCTTCTGTAATTAAATATGCGGACACACGGTTCTATAATGAGTCTCTTCCGAGACCACTTGAGTCTCACCTGACAAGAGGGATGATTAACTACTTTTATAGTGGACCCTGTTTTGTTTCTCTAAGTGACAATCCAAGAATTACATATTGAGCACTTGGGACCTAGAAAAGTTAGTATACGTCAGTTTACATTTAATTCAGTGATGGGTAAAACGACAACTGATGAATGCACTCCCCAGCCCAGGGAGATGGTCTTAGGACTTGGTTTTGGAGACTTCTCTCCTGAAGCAGGGGGCACAGTTGCTTGCTGCTTTGGCTCTAGGATGCACAAAGGCTAAAACATCTGCCTCCAAGTCCCCATCTCCTAAGAAAGGTTTCTTTTTGATGGTTGGGAAACTGGGAAAATGGGGTTTATAGAAGACTTGGCAGGATGTGTGTGAAATGGGAAGGCCAAATGTATGAATCATACCCCAAGTCACTTGGGGGCACCTAGGAGGTTGGGTTTCCCAGCATCCTGCCCCATTAGTGTAATTTTGGTTAATGCTTGGAACTTTCTGAAGATTTTGAACAGGAAATGTGAGATGTAACAGCCTGATCAGTCTGTCTGCCTTAGATTTCTATACTTGTGATAAAACACCATGATAGAAAGCAACTTGAGGAGGAAAGGGTTAATTTTATCTTACAACTTGTAGTCCATCATCCAGGGAAGTCAGGGCAGGAACTAATAATGAGGCACAGTGCTTTGCAGCTCGTGGCTTCCTCAGCCTGCTTTTTAATATTTATTTTATATTTTTTCTTATTTTACATATTGATCCCAGTTCCCTTTCCCTCCCATTCCCCCCTTTCCATCCCACATCCACTTCCCAGGGAGGGTGATGCCTTCCAGGAGAGATCATCAAAATCTGTCAAGTCATTTGGGGTAGGGACTAGGCTAAGAGAGTAACCCTCCATGGGGAGGGAATGTGTTCGCAAAGTCCTTTCATGCACCAGGGATATATTCTAGTTCCACTGTCAGAGGTCCCCAGACCTCGTTACCAAGATCCACCTTCAGGGCATCTGGGTTGGCCCTATTCTGGTTTCCCAGCTATCAGTCTGGGGTCCATGAGCTCCCTCTTGTTCAGGTCAGCTGTCCATGGGTTTCTCCAGCCTGGTCTTGACCCCTTTGCTCATCACTCCTCCCTCTCTGCAACTGGATTCCAGGAGTTTGGCTCAGTGTTTAGCTGTGGGTGTCTGCTTCCGCTTCCATCAGTTACTGGATAAAGGCTCTAGGATGACATATAAGGTAGTCATCAATCTCATTTTCAGGGAAGGGAATTTAAGGTAGCCTTTTCACTATTTTCAGATTATTAGTTGGGGTCATCCTTGTAGGTCTCTGGACATTTCCCTAGTGCAAGATTTTTCTTCAAACCTATAATGGCTCCCTCTTTTCTTGCTCTCCTCTGTTCCTTTCCCGACTCAATCTTCCTGCTCACTCATGTTCTCCTCTCCCTTCCTCTCCTCTCCTTCTCTTTCTCCTAACTCCCTCTCTACTCATTGCCTCCCCCTCCCAATTTGCTCAGGAGTTCTTGTCTCTTTCCCCTTCTGTGAGGGACCATGTATGTCTCTCTTAGAGTCTTCCTTGTTTCCTAGCTTCTCTGGTAGTGTGAATTGTAGGCTGGTGATTCTTTGCTCTATTTCTAAAATCCATATATGAGTGAGTAAATACCATGTTTTTTCTTTTTCTTTTGTGACGGGTTACTTCACTCAGGATAGTTTCTTCTAGTTCCATCCATTTGCCTTCGAATTTCAAGATTCCATTGGTTTTTTTTTTTTTTTCCAGCTGAGTAGTATTCCATTGTGTAAATGAACCACATTTTTCTCCATCCATTCTTCAGTTGAGGGGCATCTAGGTTGTTTCCAGGTTCTAGCTATTACAAATAATGCTGCTATGAACCTAGTTGAACAGATATCTTTGTTGCATGGATGTGGATCTTTTGGTTATATGCCTAAGAGTGGAATTGCTGAATCCTGTTGTAGACTGATTCCCATTTTCCTGAGAAACTGCCATACCGATCTCCAAAATGGCTATTCACATTTGCACTCTCACCAGCAGTGGAGAAGTGTTCCCCTCTCTCCACAGCCTCTCCAGCATAAACTGTCATTGGTGTTTCTGATTCTAGCCATTCTGACAGGAGTAAGTTGGTATCTCAGAGTTGCCTTGATTTGCATTTCCCTGATGGCTCAGCCTGTTTTTTTTTTTTTTTTTTTTATAGCACCCTAGGCATTGCCCAGGAGTGGCACTGCCCAGTGAGCTTGGTCTTTCTAGTCTGGGGAATTTTTTCAATTGAGATTTTCTGTTTCCATATGACTCTAGTTTGTGTTAAGTTGATGTGAAACTAGCCAGCACACAGTCTCCATTGCATTGGGTTTTATTTTCTACTGCAACCAGGTATTTCAAAACATGAAAAAGTATATATGTACAAAAACAAAATCATATAAGCATTTTATAAACAACACTTCAGCCAGGATGTAAAATAAGTAAAAATAAATTTATTTAGAAACAGAAGTTAAAGGGAGATATTTTCAAGGAGAAATTCCTTCTACTTTGAACAACTTTAAAAAAATTTTTAAATGTATTTTTTTCTTCCAGCAAGGCAGTTTTCCCCCATAGAAATAGTGCAGGCTGATACTTTTTCATAAAATTTTGGAATCCTATGAAATGTCCAAACATCTGATCACCCGTACTTACCCTGAGTTTGAGCTTGTGTAAATCAGAGCTTGTTTTCGGAGCTCACATGACCTTCAGCTCCTGTGATAATCCAGTGATAAACCTGTTGCTCTGATAAAATTCCATGGTCAAAAGAAAGTTAAGAAGGAAGGATTTGTTTTGGTTTACGGTTCCAGAGGGATAGAGTCCATCGCAGCAGGAATGGCATGGCTTGGCATGGCATGGCAGCATGGCAGCAAGAGCAGGAAGATGGCTGATCATTTTTTTTTTGTCTGTACATAGGAAGCAGAGAGAGAGAGAGAGAGAGAGAGAGAGAGAGAGAGAGAGAGAGAGAGAGAGAGAGAGAGAGCAGGAAGTGAAAAAGCTATAATCTCTCAGAACTGTTGTTGAACAATGCACTTCTGACAGCATGGCTGCACCTCCTGAAGGTCCCATGATGTCACCAAACAATGCCACCCTCTGGGGACCAAGTATTCAGATACAAGGACCTATGGGTGACATTTCTCAGTCAGACCACCACCATCAGCAAAGTTATGTTTACAAATGGTTAGCTACAATCTTCTTATATGGGAAGAGAATGGAGAAAAGATTTTTGTTTTTTTCCTCAGACATCACTGGGTTCATGGCTAAAGTACCTAAAGTAAAAGGAAGATTGATGAGGGAAATTGATGAGGGATAGTCCAGTTTTATGTTGTGGTATGGATGAAAGGAAATAAATGCACAGGAAATCCTGTACCGTTATGTTTAAGTTTGTGGAATGGTGGACAGCCAGAGAGAAATAGGACTTAAGGACAGCATAATGGCAGTGAACTGGGGAACTTAGCAAGGCCTGTTTGTCCAGTTTGTCACTGTGCTCTTGTGTCTTCAGAGACAAGTATGTAGGTAGAGGGAGGCCCCTTCTGGAATGAGGGGTAGGACCCGTTTCCGGGAAGAATATTCGGGATGGTGGGAGTGGCATCCCTGCTTTGGCTTTTTGCCCAAGAGGGTGTTTGCCAAATTTGGGGGAGGGGTGGCACAGCCTGAACTCTACCAGAAGCAAAAGTTTTATTGTTACTGTTTGCAATTTGGCTATGTATTTGTGTTGAAAGTAAAAATCCAAAGTCAAAGCCACTTTTCATTAAATGTATAAGAATAATTTAATCTTAGACTTCAGTATTTTGGGGCTGGAAAATACTCAAGGATTAAAAGCAATACTTGTTGTTGTTGTAGAATTGTTGGTGAGGACGATGGAGGGAAACTTTTTACTCCTGAAGAGTATGAAGAGTACAAGAAAAAAGTCTTACCCATGCGTTTACAGAACAGGTTATTTGTGAGCTGGCGGTCACCAACAGGAATGGACTGTAAACTTGTTGGCCCAGAGACACTGTGTTTTTGTACACATAGGTAAGATATTGTATCATTTACTTTTAAAAAAATTAGTTTTAATTATGTATATGTGTGTGTCTCTGGGAGGCTATGTGCATGCTAGTACAGGTGACTGTGAAGCCAGAGGCATCAGATCTGCCTGGAGATGGGTTACAAATGGTTGTGAGCCACCTGAGATGGGTGCAGGGGACCAGACTCTGCAAGAACAGTGTGCACGTGTAACCGTTGAGCTATCTCTGCAGTCTGAGCCATCTCTGCAGCCCACTTTATGGCTTATTTTCTGATGGCTAGAAAATGAAGTCTGTAGCAAAAAACATATCTTCCTCCTATAAATAACAGTGTGATGGTTAAGAAACATTTGATGTTGTCATTAATACACTAGAACTATGTAAAGGTTTTTAAGCATATAATAAACTTTCATACTGTGTTAAAACTCATTACAGAGTCTATCACCATGAGCAGCTCTTGTCTTGCCATTGGGAAAGCAGAGGATAATGTTTTTCCAGGGGTCTTTCTGTGTGGTGAAGGTAGCATCTACTGGCCCCATTATTAGACAGGTAGGAACTGGGTGGTCACACTGACCTATGCTGGTCAGGCTACTCATCCACCAATAGACCCATGCCTCCTCAGGGTTATGAATTACTCTTCACATCCTCAGAGTTGGTGTTTTTCTTCTATATTTGTTTGCTCAGTTCTTTGTGAGAAGGTCCCATTATATAACCCAGGCTTGCCTGGAACTTGCTGTGTAATCCCAAGTAGCCTCAAACTCATGCTTCTGACTCCTGGGTGCTGGGATGACAGGTATAACCATCATAGTTGGCCCCATACCTTGAACAAACAAAAAAAAATACATATTCTTTTAACCTCAAATGGCTGTGTTCAAGAACATCACCAAGAGAAGAGATGCAAGGGCCAGTCATACTGTGTGTTGTTTGTATTGTTCTGCCCATGCATTCCTTCTGATTTTTCTATCATCTTACAGTTGTAAATACCAGGACGACCAAATTGCTTTGTAAAAAGTACAAAAGGAAAAAAACTACCTAACCAGTACTTATTCTTAGGGACCAGGGTTAAGTTTTCGTTCTAAGGAATCCATTGTGGGGAACCGCCCTGCTTCAATAGCAACTTGTGAGGCTCCTTCTGAAAGACTCTTTGTCTAGTTGCTATTTACAGAGTTGCAGTTTGACAGAAGTTGTTAGACAGTTGCTAGGATGAGTAATGTGTATAGATTGGCTTCAAACCTACCTAGAAACTATAACTAAAAGCACTGTGGAGGACTGGAGGATGATGGGTGCATGTTGATATCTGTCAAAACTGAAGGGGTTGGGCAAATTTGTAGTAACCTTATAATTTATGCTTGTGAATATCTAATGCCAGTTTCTACGTGGAATTTGTGCAGCCTGCAAATGACCTTCAAAATCCAACCCAACTACAGTGAAGATATTTCTCTGTGGTAGTCATCACTTAATGAAATTCCTATCCAATGTATGTTTTTCTGTTTATAAAATGAAACATGGTTATTAAGGAAAATGGGGGAATGTATAGAAAAGTAGAGCACTCACTACCCAGAGCCCTCTGCCGTTAGCATGTTCCATTTTTGTGTATAATTCTCTCTTTGCATTGTTCATTTAGTTGTACATTCTGTGCATGCATCAAACATAGCCCTGTTTTGTCACGATTGAATCACAGGACATATATATGCATGTGGCTATTAGTAATCTCAAGGCAGGTTTTTGATAAATTCTCCATGTACTAGCTTGTTCAGTGTTCACTGTTGTTCTTGAAGCTGTGAGTGAGACTCAGGGGGGGTGCCAGGCAGAAAGGCGGGTTGCAGGAGTGGGAACTCCAATTCCTGTCCTTCCCTTGGCTTTCAGCAATCCAACTTTTAAATATTTTATACTTAGTATTGTGATTCTATGAAGGTTCACTCTCTTTAGATAAAAAAGACTGTTTTCTGGTAATGCATTTGTCCATTTCCTTATGCTTATAAATATGCCTATTTATACATAAGTACATGTACTATTGCTAAACTGCCTTTATGTCAAGTCCTTATCCATATGTAGAATTATTTACTTAGAATAAATAATTCATTTTCCAAAATGAATTTCTAGGGTGAGAGAATGGAATTTTTAAAGTTTCTTGAAACATCAAATGGAATTGGTTGTTTTGTAAGACTTCCTTTTTAAAAAATTGAAAGATTTATTTTATTATTTTATATATATGTGAAAATAAAAAACATACAACTTAAAAGTATTTTATCAATTCTGTTAATTCATTTTGATCTTGAAAGTTAAAATTAAATTATAGTTAGGTAAACAATATTAAAATTTTATTAAATTTAGGTGATGGACTTCGATGAAAACCATTCTTTTTAAAAACCTTACATTTATATTTATTCATTCATTATGTATGTGTATATGTATGTATGTATACATGCATGGAGATCAGTGGGTCCAGAAGATCAAACTCAGGAAATTAGGCTTGGCAGCAAGTTCCTTTACCTACTGAGGCATCGCACAGGTCCTCTTTAGTTTTCTTGGTGTGCTAGGATACTCACTGCCTTATTGTAATAGGCAAGTGCAAGCCTTATAATTTTATTGTGTATGTATGTGCATGTCTCTCTGTGTGTGTATGCATATATATGTGTGTGTGTGTGTGTGTGTGTGTGTGTGTGTGTGTATGTGTGTGTGAGAGAGAGGAAACACACAGGAGTGGTTTCCTCCTCCCACCATATGTAGCTTCTACGTATCAAAATAAGGTCACTAGTTTTGGCAGCAAATACCTTTACCCTCAGAGCTGCTTCCTTCACACCTTAATTTTGTGACAGGGTCTTGTTGTATAGCCCAGGCTGGAATCAAACTCATGATCCTCCTGCCTCAATCTTCTGAATGTTGAGATTACGCGTACCACTACACTTGCTAGAAAGCAGTTTTTATAAAGAGCTGTTTTGTATGGCTGCTTATATTTTAGTAGTGGAGCATCTGATGAGCATACATGATGCCTTGGGTTTGATTTCCATTCAGTCCCCATAAAAGAAGCTTCTTCGTACATTGAGGATATGCATGCAGACTAAAGAACTGCGATGATGAGTATTTGAAGGGAATTGTACTTTTTTATATGGTTGTGAAACCTCTTAAATAACCAAAAATTAAAGTCTGAAAAAGTGAAGACTACTGACCAAAGCTGATAGCAATGCTGAATGCGGGAGCAGTTACTTTTACCTTATTAATACAAATAATAAAAGATAAAAACAGAATTAAGATAATTACGAGTGTGTCTAGTAAACAGTAATTGTAATGTTTGACAATATCCAAATTGTGTTTCTATTTTTTAAAGGTATAAACAGCATAAAACTGACTTTGAAACGATTCCACAGCAGCGCCCCATTGACCTGCCTTGCCGAGTGCCTGGATGCCGGTGCAAGGCTTACCACTATGTCCCTCTGAATGGCACCCAGCCTATTCGCTGCAGGTGCAAACACTTTGCTGACCAGCACAGTGCTGCACTTGGCTTTGCATGCAATGCCTGTAAGTTCCATCTTCTACACAGGTGCAGACTGTCTTAGCTTCTTTATTAAATTCTTAACTGAATGTTTGCAACTATTTAGCCACAAAGTAAAATTCAATGGATGGATACTCAGTTCTTGGTATGATTTATAATAATAAACTTCAGTGTCATAGAATTTACATAGTTTAAGTAATAGGGATAGATTTTAAAGAATTACTAGACATCACCTTAGTAAAAGTTTTTAAAGTTTAGTTTAATGTGTATGGGTGCTTTGTCTACATGCATGTCTGAGCACCACATGTGTACTTGGTGTATGTGGAGGCCAGAAGAGAGTGGCAGATCCCTGGGACTGGAGTTATAGATGGTTCTGAGCTGCCATGTGGGTGCTGGGAATTAAACGGTTCTCTAGAAGAGCTACCAATCTCTCCAGCTCTGATTAAAAGTTGTCAGTAATAGGAGAGATGACTCTACAGTGAAAAATTAATGTGTTTTAGAGGACCTAGGTCAGTTCTGGCACCTACATGTGACTTACAACCATTTTTAGGCACACACATTGTGCACACTCATACTTTCCGGCAAAGCACTCATACATATAAAAATAAAGTAAGTAAACTTAAAAAAGTGATAAAAATGTTTTCAATGAGAGTTTAATCAACCTGGTTCCTTTTTGCTGTGGGGCTGTTGTCGGGGATTGTTAGGTCTTATGAATGCTACGTAAGCTTTCTACCACAGATCCACACCTATAGATCTAGATTAATTCTTAACAGACTTTTAAAAGAGGGATTTTATAAGTAAAAAAGACGCAACAGCCTGACAAACATTTCAGATTTTCTGATTATGGGTGCTCAGTCAGTAAACTCAATTTGTGGCAGTACCAAATCCAAAAACAGATCTGAAGCATCTCTCACTTTGAGCATTCTGGATAAAGGATGCTCAACCATAGAAACATTTTCTGACAATTGTGTGTATGTACTTGGTGCTGGCAAAAGCCAGATGAGGGCATTAGATTGCCTGGAATTGGAGTTACAGACAGTTGAGATCCATCCTGTAGTTGTGGAGAACCGAACCCAGCTCTTCTACAAGAACAGTGTGTGCTGTTAACCACAGAACCATCTCTCCAGCCTTTATTTGTTTCATGTTTTAGAGGCAGGGCTTTGCTGTGTGCACTAGTCTGGCCTCAGAGTTGTGATCTTCCTGTCTCAGCCTTCAGAGTGCTTAGCTTCCAGGAGTTCACCACAGTGCTCAGCTTTAATGTAGCTTGTGAGGAGAGTGTTTGTCATCTCTGGCACTCCAGTTTTTACCTCAGTGTCCTTTGGGCCCCGTTGGTTTTTGAAACATTTTCTCCTTCAGTGTGTACCTCCTTAACCCCTCAGCTTCTGTAAGAATAGCAGTGGCTGGGGATAAGAGATGCAGGGCCAGAAGACCTACCCTTGGCGGGCTTTGGCTAAGATAAATGTCGTAGGGTGGGCAGCTTAGCATCTCATCTTAACATTTTACCCTTTGTGTCCCAACTCAGGCTCCAAGTGTTCAGGGTTCCACAGCTGCTTCACCTGTGCCTGTGGCCAGCCGGCATATGCCCATGAGACAGTGGTGGAAACACGACAAGAAAGGTTGGCTCAGGGAAAACCAGTAGGACAGGATGTTCCGTATGCAGCAATGGGAGGTTTAACTGGTTTCAGCTCATTGGCAGAAGGCTACATGCGCTTAGATGACAGTGGCATTGGTAAGTGAAAGTATTTGAAGTGTGAGCTTGGCACAAGGTGTACTAACAGTAATGAAACCTTACCTTTTCTTTATTTTGGTTTTTTAAGACGAGGTTTCTCTGAGAAACAACTCTGGCTGTCCTGGAACTTGCTTTGTAGACCAGGCTGGCCTCTCTTAGGCCCAAAGTTTTAGTGATCAAGAAGGACAGGAGTCCCAAGACCAGGGAGAAAGTTCCATCCTCAGGAACAGACAGGTGAGATAACAAAAGCAGTACTTACCTGGAGTCCTTTTGACCTGTGAGAAGGGGATCCAAGTTTATGACTTTTGATCCTCTGAAACCTGTATGAACTTTATTATATAAAAGGACATAAATGTTTTAGATACATTATCATTACTGATCTGTACTGAAATCCATATTGTAGAAAAAGTAGATATTGGGTATCTGTAAAACAGCAGGAATGTATTTATACCTTTGAGTCCTAGCAAAAACTACAGGTTTGGGTTAGAAGCTTGTACATTTTTTTCTTCTGTCTAGAGAGAGCCAGGTATAGATTGGACAGTGGTGCCTTAGGCCTGATGAAAATCATAGTTAGATGAAAACCAAAATAAATTATAAAACCTTGAGCTTGTGACCGATAGCAGGTAGTTACCACTCTATTAGCTTATCAGAACTTTATTAAATGTTAAGATCTGAATTTATATTTTAAATTATTTTATATCTTTAAGACTTATATGTCTTTATACTTTTAGATTTTTATTTACGAGCCATATTAAGGCAGCCTGATACTGCCAAGCTGACAAAGTTATGGCTAGCCCAGACATCAATACTATCAGAGATCTGAGAAGGATACATTTTATGTAACTTTTGAATCTATTAAAAAATGACAGGGACCAGTACATATACAGTTAGCCACAACCAAGTCTCTAAAGTGTTGGGGGCAGAAGTAAATCTTCGCCAGGTCCATAAAGTGAGAGGGTTTTTTTTTTTTTCTCTCTCTTTCTGTGGAAGAGGGACATGGAAAAGACTGACCTTATTTTGTCTAGGCAAAGATGATGCATTCAATTTTCCAGTACCCTGCAGCTTGTCCACAGTCTAAGCCGGGTCCTGCCTGGCAGCAGGCATCACATTTGAGCATCTTGCTCACTGGTCAGTGTTGTGACAATCCGTGGTGCCCCATAATCTTCTTTAGAGACCTTAGGTCACTGTCAGGTACTGGGATTCTCTGTTTGATATTATAAGCTTTGTAGTTAACATTTTAAATGCCATATTCCACAGATCTCTGTAGTATTAGAAGTCTGCCTAGGTAGATCTGAATAGACAACTTTGTTTTTAGTTACTTGTTTTAAGCTTAACCTTTGAAAACATATACAGGCAACTGAATAAGGTTTATCCCTGTTATAAATCATTAGTACTTAGCTTGATTATAACCAACAGTTTATTTATAAGGATGGCTACTAACTTATCTTTCTTTAATATCAAAAATAAAGTACCCTGTATGTTTTTAAAACTATTATCACCTGGATGACTGTTAATTTTATGTTATCAATTCTCAGTGTTACTAGTTTTAACCTTTTAGTTTTAGTTTTTAACAGATTTAATCACAAAATAGCTTTATCTAATATAATGGCCAGAGCTGAGAGATAAATTTTGAGCTATATCCATAAATGACTGACTGCTGTTAGCATTAGACAGCAAAAATATTTAAATCATTCTTGTTTTAGCATTATGATTGCAACAAAACTGACATTTATACCAGAAAACACAGAACTTTTTAACAGGTACATATTTACTTATTTATTTTTTAAATCGTGAGCCTCTTTGCACCCTCCATCATCTCAACTGTTGACTCTTGTTGGGGTTTACCCGCTCTCCTGTTATTATTATTATTTATTATTAGGGGGAGTCTGGTTAATCCTTTCTTTTATCTTTTATTGCCCAGAGAAGTAGAGTTATACTTTTAGCATTTGAAGCTCCTTCTGATGTTTTCTGTTCTGCTTTGATGTGTTTTGTGGACCTCTGAATTTGCAGCCCATTTGTCCTGTCTCTTACGTCCACTGTTTTGTCATATTTTGTCTTTTTTTGTTTCAGAATGTACCACTTCTGCATAGAATATTATAAATTATATGTTCTTTCTGTATCAATCTGCATATTCCATATGCTATTAATTGAAATATTACATTGTTTTCATTTAAGAAATTAGGCCAAATTTCTGAAAAGTTCTAAAATATAGGTCAGAAATATTCTGAAGTAGTAAAATGAAATCATAAGCTAATTCATTTATTTACTCTGAGCCTCCAATAATAAAAATAATATGGTGGCTATACAGACAGACATAGAACACTCACCCTGGCCAGGAACTCAACCTTTCGGGGTCAGGGGTCCTGGGCTATTATATATATATAATAGCCATTATATATATATAGATCATCTATTTTGTTAGTCTTAATTTTTTAGTTGACATAAAAACCTTTACCCAAGTCATCCTCCCGCTCCATACCTGCATCGCTTGTGCTGCAGCCCCTGTGCAGCCGCTGCCACCTGCGGAGGGGAGGCAGGGGCTGGGTGCTGTTCACCCTGGTGCTCTGCTTTGCCACTGGGCTGTAATTTTCCGGTCTGGGAGCCGATGAGGCAGGAAATTTTATGATTTTACACAGGGGAGGAAGGAGTCTGTCTTATGTTAATTTTTTGCTGTCCTATGTTAATATTTGTCTGGGGTAGAGTCTGTAGGGGAGAGACAATGGAAAAATACATCATATAAATAAACGTCACAGTTAGAGGGCCCAACACAGAGATTTACATACTGTAGGTTCTCTCAGATTCAGACTGCCTGACTCCCCTGTTTCCACGGGAAGGTCTATAATGCCAAACACAGTACAGACGGGAGGTGGCCTCCCCAGTAGGGAGACTCGGTATTCGACCAAGTCTTCACTCTCAGATGACAGGTTAATCCAGCCCTTGGCTGGATCCCTGCCCAGATGAGAATTCGAGGTGTCCCCCAAATTCTCCAGGTCTGACCCCTTTAGTGCGTCCACTGAGGTGCTATTGACCTATATACTGATACAGATGTCCACTGCTGGATCAGAAAGAGAACATTTTTTTTCAGACAGACAGACAGACAAGACAGTCAAGCAGACTAATAGACAGACATATCCCCTAGCCTCCCAGGACCCCTGACCCCGAAAGGTTGAGTTCCTGGCCAGGGTGAGTGTTCTTTGTCTGTCTGTATAGCCACCATATTATTTTTATTATTGGAGGCTCAGAGTAAATAAATGAATTAGCTTATGATTTCATTTTACTACTTCAGAATATTTCTGACCTATTTTTTAGAACTTTTCAGAAATTTGGCCTAATTTCTTAAATGAAAACAATGTAATATTTCAATTAATAACATATGGAATATGTAGATTGATACAGAAAGAACATATAATTTATAATATTCTATCTTCATTTATCTGTGCCCTTCTGTGCAGACAAGTGGCATCCTAAAGTTACTTTTCTAGAAGGCCCACACAATTCTTATTATTTCTATTTAATCTTTAAAAGCTTTAAAAATTATACTTATGCATTGCATGTATGTATGTGTAGGCACATGTGCATGTGGAGCCCAGACAACTTTTTGGAATCCTTTTATCATGTGGGACCTCAATCTTGGGAGTTTTAGGTAGATTTTCAGTACAGTTTGCAAAAAATGCTATTTTTGCCTTTCCCAGTTCTCCCAAATCCTTTTATTAGTAGTTTTACTGTGGCGCTAGATAGCGGTGGTGACCTGGCATCCTGGCCTTTCTAACATTTATCCCTCAAGTTGCTGCAGTGTAAAGACAGAAACCCTTCCTTTCATCTTACTTTCCTGTTGCTGGGATAAGACACTGTTTCCTAGGCAACTTATAAGAGAGAGTGTTTAATTTGAGCTTATGGTTCCAGAGGGTTAGAGTCCATGATGGGGGAGTGAGGGCATGGCTGTAGGAATAGCTGAGAGCTCACATCTTGAGTCACAACTAGGAGGCAGAGAGCTAACTGGGCATGGCATGGGCTTTTGAAACCTCAAAGCCCATCCCCAGTGACACACTTCTTCCAACAAGGTCACACCTCCTAATGTTTCCCAAACATTTTCAACTGGGGACACATTCAAACATGAGCCTATTGGCCGTTCTTATTTAAATCACCGAAAACCACAAGGGAAGTGGGTGGTAAGGAAAGGTGGAGAACGTAGGGATTGTGAGGCCTCTGCTCTGAGCCATGTAGCATTCTAGATAATGGTGCTCTCTGGTCAGGACTTGATTCTTTTGAGATGTAGAAGCAGTCCATAATTCCCAGATCTCAGGAGTCCTGGGCAGAAAGCCGAGCTGTCTGCCATCACAGCCTATGCTAGTGGGGCTAAGGTGACCCCAGAGCATAGCTGAAGGTGGGTCCCCAGCACTGGAAGATTCTGCATGGGAAGTGACAAGCACTGGAGCTTAGTAGAATCTGCACTTGCAGGGAGGGCACCAGAGACTCTCCACCTGGAGACGAGATTACACATGAGGCCAACCCTCAACGCCAGAAACCAGGAACCCATGCAACAAGGGAGGCCCAGCTGGACTGAGCCTCCCACCGTCACAGGAGGGGGCGGTGGAGGTAGGCAGGGACAGGGATTGGAAGCATGAGCAGTTTTTCTGTGCTATACACTATAGAAGGTAAGGCTAGCTTGTCATCCAGTTAGATTGAAAGTTCATTTCCAAGGAGGTGGTTTGTGAGGGAGATAGGATGGCTTTATATATTTCTCTGTGGCAAAATTCCTTCTTTTTGGTTTCAAGAGTTAATGCCTTTAGCAGTTGGTCTTTGTAATTTGTAGTTTAGGGGTGGTGTATGTATCTTCGTTCATCGAAGAAAGAATTTTTTTCATTTTTCATAGTTTGCTTTCTGTTGACTGTCATAAAACACTGCTCCCCCATCAACCTGAGGAGGAAAGGGTAACAGATGATAATCTATCATTGAGTGAGGCCACACAGGAACCTGGAGGCAGATGCTGAAGCAGAGACTGGAAGGATGCTGCTTACTGGCTTGCTTCCCATTGCTTGATCTACCTTATACAACCCAGTACCTTTGGGTAGGAGGATGCATGCCTTTAATCCCAGCACTGGGGAGGCAAAGGTTGGGACATCTCTGTGAGTTTGAGGCCAGCCTGCTGTACATAGTGAGTTCCAGACTACAAAACCAAAACCAAAAATATCCTCCTCCAAATACATAACCAACCCAGGACCACTTGCCTAGGGGGACACTACCCACAGTGGGCTGGGCTCTCCTACATCAATCATTTTTTATTTTATTTTTTTTTTATTTTTGAGACAGAGTTTCTGTGTAGGTTAGAAGTTCATCTTGACCCCTACTAATATTTTTCCTTTGGTGGAAGAGTTTCTGAGAAATGCAAAAATATTTTTAAATAGATAACAATTTAAAATGAAAATTCCTTGGCCTGGGGAGGTGGCAGAGTGGTTAAGAGCACTTGTTGCTCTTGCAGAGGACCTGGGTTTGATTCCCAGAATCCACATGGCAGATCACAACTGTCTATACCTCTGTTTCCAGGGTATCCAACACTTGGACACCAGTCATACACATTACAGACATACATTCAGGCAAACATCCATACATCCATACACAGAAAGTAAAAATAATTTAAAATAAAAATTCCTGTTTGTTTACTTATTTATTTTGAGTTGGGTTCTCAATGTGCTCTTCAAACTAGTCTAATGTCTCACTTGGTAAATATGGGATTATAGGTGTGTGCTACTGTAGCCAGCTAAAATGCACAGAACGTTTCCCTAACAGCTCTGCTGATGTTCTGATCGACTTCACAGTAGGAATGATGAATTGCTTGTATCTTTATGAATAGAGCTTTGTTTTCCATACTCATTTTCTGTTTCCAGGTGCACCCTCAGTTGAAGTTTTGGACTCTCCAGTTTCCGCCAGGGACCACCCATTCTTAAGAGCCTTCCAAACCCCGTCTACTTCTTCTCCACAAACACTAACAGATGGTAATGAAGTTGCAAGAAGTACTTCTGGATGTAGTAATAATATAGAACTTTAATTTGCCTCCCAGGCCAACAGGCCAGAGTAAGGATTGCAACTGTGTCCAATTTAGGGAACCCATGAGTATTTACTAGGGTTACTAACAGGAGCGTGGTGAGGGACAGGGATGACCCCCACCCGGGGGAAAGCTGTACCCCAGAGAGGGACAGGGATGACCCCCACCCGGGGGAAAGCTGTACCCCAGAGAGGGACAGGGATGACCCCCACCCGGGGGAAAGCTGTACCCCAGAGAGGGACAGGGATGACCCCCACCTGGGGGAAAGCTGTACCCCAGAGAGGGACAGGGATGACCCCCACCCGGGGGAAAGCTGTACCCCAGAGAGGGACAGGGATGACCCCCACCCGGGGGAAAGCTGTACCCCAGAGAGGGACAGGGATGACCCCCACCCGGGGGAAAGCTGTACCCCAGAGAGGGACAGGGATGACCCCCACCCGGGGGAAAGCTGTACCCCAGAGCTCCACAGTCCAGGCACGGGGATCTCTTTCCACAGTTTGGCTGTCTCTGTCCAGAGCAGCTGTTTATTCCCTTTTGTTCATTGCTGGGAAAATCGTGGGAATTCTTGTCTCCCCCCCCCCACTGGTGACCTTTTGTTTACCTACTATTTCCCTCTGGCTATAGAGGAAGACCTCCCCCTCCCTCCTGCAGGCAGTGTTTCAGTTTGGAGGGAAAGTTGAATTCCAAGGAAGGTACTGCCATGCATTGAGTCCAGCTCAACTCCAGCACTCACACGACACACACAAAAACAATTTTAATTTCCTTTCAGAATATAAACCAGCTATTGGTTAATTTTACAAAATAAACAGCATGAAAGTGACTAAAACTGTCTTAGTTCTGGAACTTTCAAAGCAGTATCATTTCTATGGTTGCCTATAGACAACCTCAATAATGAACAATGCTATAAGTTAATAGTTGGAAAATGTGTGTGTGTGTGTGTGTTGGTAAGTATGCATATGGAGGTCAGAGGGCTACTTGCTTAAATTGGTGCTTTCCTTCCAACGAGTGGGCCCTTATGAATTCAACTTGTCTGGTTGGTGGCAAGTACCTTTACCTGTCCAACAATCTGTTGTCCCTCTGTTACTTTTTGACACAGTGTTGTAGCCTATGCTAGCCTGGAACTTGCTATGCAGGTAGTTCAGGTTGGCCTCCAGTTTTAACTCTTCTTGCTTCTGCAAACTCTTCCTGCATCGTCACTGCATCTCAGTGACGTGGATTTAGGTATAAGCTCTGTGTCTAGCTCTTGGTTACCCATATGGAATAGCTAAGTGGTGTTATTTAATAGGAGCCAGTTGAATATTTGGAGACTATTTACCACTGAAAATTACTTTTGTTTTGTGATGGAATTCCTGCCAAGAAAGAGTTTAATATGAGGACCATTAGGGCATTTCTGGTTTGAATAATAAATTATTATCACTTGGTGTAAAGGAGTTCTGCCTCTTCTCCATCTCCTTTGGGGGGGGGGGCATGCAATATTATAAATACACAACTTGGATTTTTTTCTCACATAGTAGGTCCAAGCACTCAGATTTCTTCCGTAAAGAAGCCTGAAGAGGATGATATGGCTTATTTTGAAAGACGATACCAGGAAAGGGTAAGCATTTGTGGAAATCTCCTTGCATAACTTTCCAGCCCACATGATGAATTATTTCCTGAGATACTTTCTATATTCTTTGCAGTGTAGCTAATGGAATGTAAAAGTGAGATGTTCACATTGAAACCCTTTCCCTCCAGCTGGCATGAACCATGCAGTTGGTTAGTACTTGCCCTTTACTTCAAAACCACTGAGCAGAAGGGACCAGCAGGAGGCTGTGTTGGATGTTGCAGGGCTTTGTTCAAGAACAAGGCTATGCACTGCCTTTGTCCTTTGCTAATTATTTGGAACATTGGTATGGGGATTCTTAAAGGTTAGTGGAAGTTGGCTGTGACAGTTGAAGCTTTTGTGCTAACATGGTTTAATGTCTGCTGTTGGAGATTATTGGTAAGGATTTACTTTATGTATCAGGTTAAATTGTTTTCTTCTCTTCTTGGTCTCTTTTCCCCAAGAAAGGAGAGTTTCACTAAGGAAACTAGTACCAAATGTCTGCTAGGGGCAAGATGCTTTTTGTGCTGGGACATGTAGAAAAGCAGGGCAGGGCCTGGGAAAGAGATGGCTTGCCTTTTAGCTCACTCACTATCTGGGTATTTGATAACAATTTTCTTTCTTAAGTGTAATTTTTTTTTGAGCAGGGTATTACTACATGCTAATGCCTTGAACTTACCATCATTTTACCTCAGCCTCTAGTGTGTGTGTGTGTGTGTGTGTGTGGGTGTGTGGTTCAGTGTGCCACCTTGCCTGGCTTTGTTAAATACTATTTCAAATGAGCAATGGCTGCTGTGGCCTTTTGCTTTTGTTTGGCATACTTTCTGCTCCCTTCCACCCCACCTTCTTCTCATATTACTAAGAATCTAACACTTAGCCTTAAATGAGATGAAAAAAGAGTCTAGCATTTGTTGACCACTTATCTGTAGATTGATTTTTGGGGTGGGGTGGGGGAACAGGTAGCCCTCAGTGTGACATTAAACTCAGTATGTTTGAAAGACTGACTTTGAATTTCTGTTTCTCCTGCTTCCATTTTTCCAAGCACTGGAATTGTAGGTATATGCCACCATTGGGCTCAGTGTTCTAGAGAGGGTTAGTGTCTATTATGGGGGAGTGAGGGCACGGTGGCAGGAACAGCTAAGAGCTTACACATCCAATTGCAAGCAGGTGGCAGAAAGAGCAAACTCAAAATGGTGTGAATCCTTTGAAACCTTAAAGCCCATCCCCAGCAACATACCTCTACAAGCAAGGCCACACCTCCTACCTAATCGTCCCCAAACAGACACCAACAGGTGACCATATATCCCATTGCCCCAGGCTACTGGGGAACTTGCATTCAAATCTCCACACCTAACTTACTAAGTGCTTATTAAATATATCCCTCTATATATTTGATTTTATTTATACTTTTGAATAATCCTGAGAAGGGTCTGTATTGTGGTTAAAAGAAACAAAACAAATGAAAAGCTGTCCTAAGTGTTTGGTGAAAGAAAGAGGTAGGATTCAAATGTTCTTCCATTTGAAACAAGAGAACAAGAGGATGAATACAGGTGACATTAAAGCAGAGGAGATACTAGGGGAAAATGGGGGCCAGCAGGAGGGGAGATGGGGATGGGCAGGATAAATAGAGTGCATATGTAAATGCCAATATGAAATCTGCGACATTATATAATTAAAACAAACAAAAACTAGCCTTTAATCCCAGTGTTTGGGAGGCGGATCTCTTGAGTTCTTGGCAAGCCTAGTCTACAGAGTGAGTTCCAGGACAGGACAGCCTAGGTTATACAGAGAAACTCTGTCTTGAAAAACCAAACCAAAACCCAAACAAAACAACCTCTCTCCCCCACCCCTTAAAAGCACTAATGAAAAGGTCCTATAATGCTGCCTTCGAATGGGGTGTTCTTTAGAGCCCTTCAAATGACCCCATGACAGTGTGTGAGTGAGAATGAGGGCATGGTGCCTGAGTGAGGTTGCCAACCAGAGGAGAAAGGAGAAAATGGGGAAGATAGGTTACCTGGATTTTATTACTGGTAATTTATCACTTGCAATTTGACAGATAGGATAAACTGGTTTTACCAGGTGCCAGACAGTTTCTCTTCCTTGCCCCCCTTTTCTTCCCTTCCCTTTCCCCTGCTTCTGTCTGCCCCTGCTCTGTCCTGGCCTTTCTCATCCCCTCTTTTCTGCTGGAAATCATACCTAAGTCTTGGTACTTGCCAGTCAAGTGTTCCATCACTGAGCAACCTTCCTCCTGACTTGTTTCTGGTTTCTTTTTAAAAGTATATGTCTTATTCTTTGAGAATTTTATATATGTATATAATTTATTTTGATCATATGTATCCCTGTTCCCTTTGGTTTCTTTTCTTTTTGTTTTTGAGACAGGGTTTCTCTGTGTGGCCCTGGCTGTCCTGGAACTCACTCTGTAGTCCATGCTGGCCTCAAACTCACAGAGATTTACTTGCCTCTGCCTCCCAAGAGCTGTAATTAAAGTTGTGCACCACTAACTGCCCCCCCCCCCAGTTTCTTGATATTATTTCTGACACTTAAACTCAAAGGTCCTCTTTCCACTTTTGGGCCCTTTATATTTTGTTTGTCCCCTTGGAAGTTTGAGGCAGTGATGCTGTACCTGGAAGCTGTCGTTGAGTGGGGATGACTAAGGAATCAGTGTGCTTGTGTTATGGGGACTTCCTCCTGTCCATGTAAAGGTTCACCTTTCTCATAGTTAGACAACTGCCACTTATGGTCGCCACTTTTGAATCGTAGGAACTCACCTTTAATGGTGCCGGTGCTCCACAGATGGCCCTGCTGAATTAGTAACTGCAGGAGCACGAATAGGCTGGATGTACCATGAGGATTTTAAGCATTTAGAAACACTCCAGTGATATTTAAAATGTATTTTTATCCAAGGCAATATTCATTTATATATTCCTTTTTATCAGACTTCTGAAAAGCTAAAGCCAATCATTTAAAGAATGTAGTCACATCCCTTTACTGATCAGATTTTGGCATGCATATTTAGCAGTTACTAACTCTGGTGTGGCTATGCTAAATAAGGTATGATTAACAGGTATGTACAGCCTTTATTTAGGATAATTTAAAATTTTAATCAACAAATGTTTTAAATTTACAGATAAAAATGGAAAAAGCTGCTAAGCAGAAAGGAAAGGCTCTGCTGCCACCAGGCACAAAACCTTCCTGAAGTCTGTTGGAGAAATTGAAGCCACCATCAGGATGCATCTTTTATTTATTTAAGTTTATTTCCTCTCAATCTATGTACTTTCTTATTGTATAAATACGTCGTTTTGAATTTTGCTTAGCTTATTGAAACAGGTGAAATGAAAATATTTTTGTCAGAATTCATGACTTAGCACTTTCTGTGCTTTTTAAAATATAGTCTAGTAATCCTGCCTCAGCATATGTATGCTTTTTCTCTCTCCTAGTGAGTTATGTGTGTTATCTTCATAGGATTAAAACCCTGAAAGTAAATATTTTTAGTTTATCATAATTTAATTTTTGTAGGTTATCTAAAAAATTAAGGTTATTATCAAAGGCTTTAAACAAATACATATAGGCCAGTGTTTCATTCAAAATGGAAAATGAAAACCATTAGTTTTTGCTTTTTAAGCTTTGGAATGTTAACTTATTTTTAATTAAAATTATATTTTAAAATTATAAACCTCTTTTTAATAATAAAATCCCTTGACTTTTTATGTTGTCTTACAAATGTGCCCATTGTACATGCATATATACCTACATACATACACCTAAATGTAGTGAAATTTAATTAAAAAAAGAACATAAGGAAGTTGTATGACAGAAGTGACACTTGTTCTTCTCAAAACCCACTCCTGCTAGCTTTTACGGACTCCAAGTTACTAATCAGGGTCAGGCCTTAGTGCACCCCATTGGGAAGCAGTCTTTCCTCGAGGAGAATGGTTATGCCCCGAATGGATTGAAGATTCTGGTCTAAGGGTGTTGGCTGGAACCCAAGAAACATGTCTGAGGGCAGATCTTGAGAATATGCTGGATCAAAGAGTTGGATGAAAAGATGATGTGGGAGCACTCATACTGTGGGAGCACTCATCCTGCTATACCTTTTGAACGCACAAAGGTGCCTGCCATAGGTCCTGAGAGACTGTAGTGATGTTGTACAGAAGATACAGAATATCCATACGGGATTCCAGAAGTTACTGGCATAATACTGAAAAAAAGGGGTCAGAAACTCAGGGGTGTGTGCGTGTTGAAAACAGGAGAAGCAGCGTGGCTGTAGCTCTCACTGCTGAGTAGTGCCAGTCCTCTGTCCACCAGGAGGCAAGGACCAATGGGGTTCAAGGGGTTGGGCCTGCTCACCCCGACCCCGGGCAAGCACAGGATGTCTGAGATGAGTCTCAGTGATAGTCCAGTATTCATGGCACTTTGGAAACCAGAGACCTTGAACCAGACCAATGGCTCATTGTGATAAGTATTTACATGTAAAGCTGTTTGGGCATATACATATATATATATGCACATAAACATATATACACATACACATATACATATGTACATACACATACATACACATATACATATACATATTCACATACACATAATACACATACACATACATACGCACATACATACACATATACATATGCACATACACATACACATATACATATACTGTGTGACATACTGCACTTTGCAATTCCATGTCAGTGAATGAAATGTGCGATGGAGAGGTGGGAAAGATGGCAGAATGGAGTCACATGCCAGGTGGGAAGAGACAGAATTACAGACACAACAGTGGAGACAGGTGTGGGGATGTGGCATGTTGTTGCTGAGTAGAGGGGCAGGGTGTTGTGCACAGCCTGGAGGTCAGGCAAGTCCTGCCCAGTTGGATCATTTCCCTGGCTCTGAGCAATGGCTCCTCTAAAGAAACTCCAGATCTGTGCTGCCTGAGGCCATGTTGATGTCCATGGTCCTTGCTGTTGCTAGAAGCCATGTGCAAGTCTATAACCTGTGCTGCTGCTGGCTGATACAGGTGAGGAAGCATCTTTTGTAGTAGCATCAGTGATGGCAGAATGACAGGGTGAGAGATGTTGAAAGCTTCTGTGACAACCTTCTTAGCCCCACTCCCCAAAAAGTCCAACAACAAAACCCAGTTTAGACAGGAAGCCACTGAAGAGAGACCTTAAACATTGTAATTGGAATCCTGAAGTGTAGCTCTTCACAGTTTAAGATTTCTGGGAGTGGGGGTGGGGTAAGGCTGGGGAAGGACTCAGTTGTTGTTGTTGTTGTTATTATTATTATTATTATTATTATTATGAGACAGGGTTTCTCTGTGTAACAGCCTCTGGCTGTCCTGGAACTCACTGTGTAGACCAGGCTGGCCTCGAACTCACAGAGATCCTCCTGCCTCTGTTTTCTGTAAGGGGCTGGTCACTCAGAGTTTGATATGCTCCAATGAGTATATGGGCAACACAAATTGGACTTGGTGTATTCTTTTATTTTATTGGGGAGGGCCCAAGGGTGGGAGGGTGGACCTGGGGAGGACTGGGAAGTGAGTGTGATCAGGGTGCATTGTGTGAAATTCTCAAATAATAGAACTATGCTGAGCAAAAAAATCTGGAGAAAAAATAGTCTGATTTTTTTTCTAGGAAGGCTTGGATGATACCACTAAGGCTAAGGTCTTAAGCAATAGCTGAGGATGCCTGGGAAAGAGAGAGAACTCAGAGGGTCTGACCAGCACAGTATAGAATTAGTGAAAGATACTGCCATTATCCTGGATTCTGTCAGAGCAGATCGATAATGGAATAGAAAGTTGGGGAATTTGACTGTCAGAGGCTTAATGTAATTAAATGGGCAACAAAGCGTGAGTCTGATTAATTATAAGTTCAGAAAGACAGTTATTTGAGGTCTATAACTATTCCTGCCTCATCTCTCAAACATAACAAATATAATACAACAAACCAAAATTCCCAACTGTGGTAACTGTCAAGTAAAAGGCTCACTCACATAAGCATGGGTAATGAATATAGAAAACAAAACAAAACAAAACAAAAAAACAAAACAAAACAAAAAAATAAAAAACCAACCAACTGACCAAACTCCACAGTTTCTTATCTACTTACCATTCCAAGGTACTTCAGTCTTAGTTCTAGGAGGAAGGGAGATTCCAGATCCCTTCAGGAAGTGTTTTAGGGTTTTTACTGCTGTGACAAAACACCAGGACCACAAAGTTGTGGAGGAAAGGGTTTATTTGGCTCACACTTCCATATTGCTGTTCATATTAAAGGAAGCCACAACAGAAACTCGAACAGGGCAGGATCCTGGAGGCAGGAGCTGATGCAGAGGCCTTGGAGGGTGCTGCTTACCGACTTGTTTCCCATGGCTCCCTCAGCCTGCAACCTAGGACCACCAGCCCAGGGATGGCCCCACCCACCATGGTTTGGGTCCTTACAGTTGGATCTCAGGGAGGCAGTTCCTCAACTGAGATTCCTTCTTCTGGTGACTAGCTTTTGTCAAATTGACACATAAAATCAACTAGTACACGAAGGATCATCATTATCCCATGAAAATCCTTCTGGGGCAAAATATTTGCTAGGAAAAGTATTCTGTGGATAAAGGTTAATGCTCACATTTTCAGTCAAGAACACAAAGACACAGGATCAGCATTAACATAGATTCAAAAGGACCAAAAATATTATGGCTCACTGGTTAGAGTTTTTTCAATAAAAAGTTTTATATATGTATGCATATGTAGGAAAGGGAGGTCTGTACATGGGCTTAGAGGACAGACGTCTACTGAGGATGTCTTTCCTCATCAGTCACTATTGCGGTCTCCGAATGGAGGCGTGGGTTCGTATCCCACTTCTGACACCAGATATTGCGGTAAATAAGGATCAGGATAAACAAATAGGCCGAATAGATGTTTATTCAGGGAGAAATAACTTACAACCTAGACAGATGAACACCAGAAAATTCAACCTGATCCTCTCCTGTCCGAGTCACGCCAGAAAGAAAGAGCGCCTTCCTGGCCCCCTCCGACCTCCTTCCTCAGGTCACCTCCGCCCATCGCTCCACCCCCCAATGGGCGTGGTCAGTGCTACAGAAGGACTACCTCACTACAAGTCACCTTGGTCTTTGAGGTAGGGTCTCTCAAAGGGACCTAGGGCTTGCCAATTCGGTTAGGCTGGCTGGCCACAGCCCCAATAACCTTTGCTCTGCCTCACTAGCACTGGGATTTCCAGCATGTCATGTCCTATTGTGCCTGGCTTTTTTGTTTGCTTTGTTTTGGGGGTGCTGGGATCAAATTAAGGTCCTCCTATTTGACGGAGTGAGCTACCTCTCCAGTAGACCATTCCCAATGCTCTCTCTCTCTCTCTCTCTCTCTCTCTCTCTCTCTCTCTCTCTCTCTTTTTGGCTGGGGTCTTGTTTTGGTGGTCAGATGCAATGGGTGATCTCCATTGTCAGCTTGGTAGCATCTGGGATCAGCTAAAGACATGCCTGTGGATGGGTCTATGAGGGTTATTTCCATAAAGGATTAACCGAGGGGAGAGGACCATTCCTCAAAGTGGGCAGTGGGCTCAGTGCAAAGAGATTCAAGGGAAAGCAGTGTAGCCCACCTGCCTGCCTCCCTTCCCTTCGTGCTGCTGCTGCTCTGCTTCCACCCCTGACTGACACCACACAAGACTAATGTGGACTGGAGATCAGTGTCGTCCAGCAATCGTCCAGGCCCTTAGCACCTGGACTGGGGCTGCGGAGGCATCCAGCTTTGGGAACCGAGTGGATTCTCAAGCATGCTGATGGCTTGGTTGCTCAGCATAAATATATACAAAATAAGTGGGGCATTAAATGTTTTACACTTTACTATAAAAAGCTACAAATCAAAAACACTACACACCAAAATTCAACAAACTTTGATATGGTCAGAATAGCCATTCAGAATTGAAGCTGTGGCACTTCATATTGGGTATTATATTTTTACTCTCAAATATGTTTTCAAGTACTTATTTACCAATCAAAATGAAAAATACAGAACCGAGTTAGGACTGGGAAAAGGTATGGACTCAGCCTAGATACCCATAAGTGAAGGGATGGGTAAAGAATCTTGCCTTGTTTTATGCCATGAACTACTTACTATTCAGCTTGAGAAGAATTAAATGTCATTTGCAGAAAAATGGATAGAACAGGAAATCACCATTTTAAGTGAAATAAGGTGGACTCAGAAAGACAGACACAGATTCTTCTAATGAAGAATCCAGAAAAAGAAACATGAAAGGAGAAGGGCTATGAAGGAAGAAGACGGCCAGGAAGGGAGTGAAGTAAGTGTGACTGGGTGTGCACGGGTCAAGACAATTATGTGCATGTGTGGAAATGTTGCA